GTCCTTTTAGCTGCTTGTCCCTGTCTCATGCCTGAACTCCTACCACAGATCCTGCTGAGTTAATTGAATCAAGTGCTTGGAAATTAAATCCAATTGAAGACATTAAATGTGCTGGGGTCACTTTAGCTGAAGTTTTCAGTCTCAGCAGGTCACTTCTCCAGAGGAGCAGTTGGGCAGGCAAGAGGATCACATGGGACATTGCCACCACATCATCCAGACCCACCAGATGCTGCCCCCCCCACTTCCTTCTGGCGGGTTGGGGGCTCTTGTGCTAGCAGTCCAGTGAAGAGCCTGGGGAAGGTCAGACAAGTAGGCTCAGTCACTCAGTAGCCATTCCTGGGAGAGCTGGAGGCAGCCCAGCTCAGTGATAGCCCCTGGCTTCAGAAAAGGACCTAATCCAGGGGAAGGGGGCCTCATAACAAAAGCATTTCTTACCCACTCTGTATCCTCACCTGGATGCCCCACACCATTCAGTGACTCCCCAAATCTTCTGGAAAACAAGGAATCTAGGACAGGGCAGGTCACAAGAGAGAAGGGCAGGAAAGTTGAAAGGGAAAAAGGAACAAAAGAATAAAGTCTTGAAAAACACCTGGTTCACTCTTTTCCTTTTCTTCCTGGTGGGCCAATGGGGGTCATTAGATCAGGGAAGAAGGTACCATCAGAGTGAATGTAGCCCAGAGACGGGCCTTGCAGTGGCTGAGAGTTGGAGTCTTTCTGAGAGAAGAGAAAACTGTAGTCCACTGGCCTGAGATGAGCCTGTTAGAGGCTGGGCTGGTCTTTGCTCTGCATCCCTAACCCCCTCGTAGCAGGGTGGCATTGGCGGGGCACCACAGAGACCCATACGTGGGAGGAGAACAATAGAGAAGATAGGGGCTGACATGGAGACTGACCTGAACAGGACACACAGACTTACCCTGGCTGGTGTTGATGGTGGCGGAAGGAGTGCCTAAGAGTTGGGGTGGTGGGGAGCACGGTTTCCTCACAGTGGGTCTTTTCTGGCCCTGCTCCCTCCTCCACCGCCAGGACCCATGGCTTCAGGTTTAAGGGATAGTTGTTGCTGGAGAACCAGTCTCCCTCCCCGCACTTCCCAGCTCACCCTTTCACCGGGTTCCTCCCCCGAGCTGCAAAGAGGAGGGGGCGGGGGGTAGGGGGAGCCAATCCCGGCAGCGCCAAAGGGGGGAGGCGGCGGTGACAGCCGCGGGGAGGGGGCGGGAGGAGAGAGGCGGCTTGGCTCTGGCTCCGTGCTTAGCTCTGCTCTGCCTCCGGCTCTGCGCTCACCTACTGCCCAAGCCTCCAGCTCCTGCCCCAGGACCCCCCGCGGGACCCCAGTCCATCCCAGACTCGGCCCCAGCTCAGACAGCGTGCAAGGCCGCCAGGGGGCGCCGTGTGAGCGCCCTATCTTGGCCACCCGGCGCCCCCTCCCACGGCCCAGGCGGGACGGGACGGGGGCGCCGGGGGCCATGCGGGGCCAGGGCCGCAAGGAGAGTTTGTCCGATTCCCGAGACCTGGACGGATCCTATGACCAGCTCACAGGTGAGTCAGGGGCTCAAGGGTCGCGGGAGGGAGTGTAGATTCCATCCCACCCGGACCCTTAAGCCTATCTGACCCAGGCCCTTACTCACACTCTACCCTATTCCCAGGCACCCTCCAGGCTGTTCCGGGCGGCAGGAAACTGGGGTTCAAAGCCTTGGGTCCCGTGGGGGGTGGGGGAGACAGGCGGGCAGGTGGGGAGAGGCAGCAGGTGTGGGCGTGTGTGACACAAAGCTAGGAGAGTGTCTGGAGTGGGAGGTGTTACGTGCGTGAGCGCCTGTCATTCTTTGTGTCTGTGTGTATATGTGTGCGCGCCTCCCTCAGCTTGTTGCCATGTGCCCTAGGCTTGGTGATAGGGTGAGTGTGATTTTGTTGGCTGTGCAATTGTATGATCTTGTCAGATGTTTGAGTGAGGTTGTGTAGGACTCTGTTGTACTAATGAAGTTGTTTTGACCATGTGTCTCTGTTCTATGTGCAACAATGTGCTTTGAGTGTGTGATTCTGTATGCAGTGGCATGTGACAATCAGAATGTGTCAGGGCTTCACTTTATGGGGCTATGTGTCTTTGTAAGACTTTAATTAGACTGTGACCCTCCTGGGGCAAGCATTTGTTAAAGTAGGTTGTATTGTGTTTTGTGATTGTGAGACTATGCAGATTATATTGGCGTTTCATGCTGATTGTGTACTTTCATGTGGCAATGTCTGCAGTGGGGTTCTGTGAGTGTCTATGACTCGTCTTACCCTTGCTTCCTCTCTGGTTTCCTGGTGTAGAAGGGGGCCTTTACCGCACACCACTGCTTCCCTATTTTTTCCACAAATAGCCCAGATGTACTCAAGGAGGGACTCTAGTGTCTGCCCAGCCTGGCTCCCAGGAACAGCACCTGGCCCTTATGGGGAGGCTTTGGTTAGTGTTTGGGTCATCGCCCCCCACCCCCAAGAAAGTACTCAGATATCATTCTTTCCCAACTGAAGCTCCTTTAACCCTCAACAACCCTCTCAGAACTTCAGCCAATCTGAAGGAAAACACCCCCTCTTGCTTCCCCTCCAGACCCAGAGATAGAAGCTCTTGGCCTGGAAGGTGCCATGTGACCTTCCCAAACTACTTTGCTGCCCAGGCGTTCCCTGTCTCCCACAGTATGGAGTACATCTGGGCTCTCACATATTCCTGGGTTTGGTAGGCAGACCTACGTGTTTGTGTGGGTGACTGTGTCACCTTGTATACATTTCCATGTGTGTTTTCTATCTCATTGTGCAGCCTGCTCAGGAACTCCAACAATGAATGGGAGGAGGGAGACTGTCTCCTGTGTCTGAAACAAGTTGGGGAGGTGGGGGGAGCCCATGATCCTTGTCTGTCCTGAGGGGAGTGAGGTTAAGTCTCCAGGATGGGGAAGAGAACTAGGATCTAATTGAGACACTTGAGAAAGTGTCTCCCCTACTCATTGACCCTGGGGAAGTCCTAGTTCCTATGCTGAGACTCCCAGAAGAAAGAGCCCTTTGGCTCAAGCAGGCACCAGATGTGACCTAGATGTGGTTCAAACTGGGGTGGAATCCAAAGGTCCAGCTCTGCCTTGACCTGTGTTCTCACCAACCCAGGATCCTTGGGAGTATAAGGCCCCAAGGCGCTCATTAGCACCACATTAGTCAGTGTTTGCTTCCTGCTTTAATTGATTCTCCCCTTTAGTGGAACCATCCCCTCCCCACTTGGCTATTTGAAAGAGAGACTGGGTGAAGGTGGGGAAGTACTTGTATTGGAAGGTGCAGGAATGAGCTTTCTATTACTTTTGCTGTCTGGGTCTCACTTTTCTCATCTCTAAAATGGAGAATACTACGTCTTGCCTGTCTGCCTCCTAAGGGAAATAGGTCAAATGTTGACAAGTGTCAAGAATGGTGTTCATCATCAGCATCCTCACTGTAGATAGCTCCACACACGACTTGGAAAGTAGAAATAGCACTACCAGGAGCTCTCCTTTCGAAAGAGGTCTTATCTTACAGCAGGAGACAATTGTGGTTGGGACTCCCCCCTCCCATAAGTTGATAAGGTGCTGGGTGCCCAGAGACGCCGTAGTTGAAGCCCAAAGGGGGAGTCGTTGTCCGAGGTGCTGAAGAGCCTTCTGGACATATGTACTGCCATGCTTTCCTAGTTCCCAAAGTTCCTTCCCTGTGCATCCCAGGGATTCCTGGGATGGACATGGGGGTGGTCTTTGGCTCCCGTCATTCTGGTCCATTAGGTTGACGGGGAGGGAGTCCTTAAGTCATCAAGGCATCCTGGGTATACACCCGATCATTTTCCTCCCCCACTCAAAGCTGGGGGAGATTTTTTTTTTTTTTGGTGGGGGGTGGGGAGAATCTGAGCCCCACCCCGCCCCAGATCTACCCCCTCTGGTCTTCCAAGCCTGGCAGGGCTACTTGGAAGTATGGCGTGGTGGGAAAAAGCAGCAATCTGTGGCAGTCCTGTCCAAGCCGGAAGCTTGGGGAAGATGAGGAGAGAGTTGGGATCTGGCTGGCCAAGGCCTGAACTCGGGTCCCTCTGCTCGTAAATATCGTTTCCCCAGTCTAGGGCGCCCCCGTGTGGTCTTAGAGCAGCCATGCTTACGGAGCTGATTCCAAACGGGGATGTCGCCTCCAAATCAAGGGGCAAAATTTGCATGGAGTTTGGAGGTGACTCTCGCCTAAATCCTAAATGTAGGATTTTTAGCCAAAAATACAGGATCCCAGTCGGAGGAGTGGAACTATGTCTCTCCTGTAGGCTGTCCCGGCAGTTTGAAGCCCTCAGTGGGTCCTGAAAGGGTTTACCTTGGGTACAGCCTGATAGGAGTCCTGGAAAGAGTCGGGGCTGGGACTGAGGGGAGGAGAGCTTTTCCTTCATGCATTTGGCTGGCAGTCAGCATATGATGGGAGAATGTGAACCCACTGGAGCAAGACAGAGGAACACAAAATCGAAAGTTATGAGAGAAAGGGATTTGGAGCCGCCTCTTTTTTGCCACCCCACTACTATGTGCAGCTCCTCCTCCTTCCTCTTGCTCTCTCCCATTGGTTTAGGAAGTATGGAAGTGTGGGACGTTGCCATGACAACTATGTCCTCTTACCCCCCCCATCGCTTCTCCATGCCATATTGGGAGGAGGAGGTGTGCGACAGGCAGAGAAGGAAGGGCTGAAGCGGGGCAGTAAAGAGTAAGGTTCATTATCCCCTCCCCCAGCTCCTTTTGCACAACCCCTGGGTGCCTCCCCTCTCCACTAGAAATCCAGGAAACATTCCCAGAGAAGGCTGTGAGAGAGTCCGTCCTCGCCTCGCCCAGTCTAGGAACTTTGAGGACGGGTGCTTCAGATGACGGGGCCAGGGTGCGTTTTCCCCCTTGCAGCCCAGAGGAGAGAGCGAGCGCAAGATTCTGGTCCTGCCGGTCCGGCCCTCCCGCGCCGCCCACGCAGGGCCCACTGGAGTGGGGGCGGAGACCCGACTGCCCCGGGCCTTGGGGGCGGAGCTTCGCCAGTGTGCTCTCAGCAGAACCATGAACCGATGCCCCCGCAGGTGCCGGAGCCCGTTAGGGCAGGCAGCGAGATCCCTCTACCAGCTGGTGACTGGGTCGCTGTCGCCAGGTATGAGGAAGGGAGGAAGGGGCTGGACCCTTCAAAAAGTGAGTGAAGTGGGATAAGAACCTTACAGAGGTGGGGAGGGGAAGGGCCCCTCACAGAGATGGAGGGAGCAGGATCCCTCAAAGGAAAGGGTTTAGAGGGCAAGCTCCCTGACAGAGTGGAGCTAGGGATAGGGTTTCTTATAGTGAAGGTGGAGGATAGGGGTCTTCAAAGAGGAAAGGATAGGGGGCATCATGGTCCCTCAAATGGTGGAGGATGAGGCAGGGCTTCTCACTGAGGATAGAGGAGGGGGTCTTAAGCAGGTGGATGTAAGGGGTGAGGCCCCTTGCAGAGATAAAAGGAGGGAGCTTGCAGCCGAACAGGGAAAAGGCACAACCCTTTACTAAATTGCTTAGCTTAATGGGATCTTAAGCTAACTGGGGTCAGTGTCCAGAAGGGAAAAATCCTGAGGTGGGACAGGACCAACATAAACTTAGCTAGTGAGTTCATGAACGATGGGATGAATAGACTTGCGTGGCATAAGGATTGTTTGTCACCATTTTGTCTATCTCTGGGAGTCTGTACGAACAGGGTTATGCATCACTCAGGTTGTAATCACTGGGTCTGTGCATCCTTGGGGTTGCATATCTTTGGGATTCTGTGACACTGAAACTGCATGTACCTGGGGTTCTATGCTTTAGAGTTGGGTTGAGGGTTCCTGAGTCACACTAAGTGAGTTGTGTAGTCTTCACAAGATTGTACCTTGGTGTGGGATGTGTCGAATTTATGACATGTGGATTGTGGATATCATATGATACTGCTGAAATGTAAGCACACTTCCACCTGGGTTTCCTTAGGGCTGCCTGGGCAAGGCCCACAGAACCTAGCATCACCTCTCCACCTGGCCTGGAGAGACCAAAACCACCTAGCCCCGTGGCATTCTGGGATCTGTAGTTCTCTGGCTCTCTCCGTGGTAACCTCTTGAGCCTCTGGAGGCCTCTCCTTGCCATGTGTTCCCCAGAAGGAGGGGAGTTGGGGCTGAGCTAGAGCCATGCTTGGCAGTCTCTTGGGGAGCATGCGTCCCTCAAGCCCCCTGCTTGGACCTGTCTCCAGTGACAGATGGCTGGAGCCCGGCAGGACCAGCTCTCAATCATAACAGGAATGACTTCCAGGCCCCAAAATAGCCCCAAAGCCTAGGGAGTTCATTAATCACCTAATGCAGCTGGGGGCTGCCGTGTCTTCTGGCCTGGCTGGGGATGGAATGGGGTTGGGGAACTGAGAGAAGAGCTCTGGAGTCTTCACTGGCTGGGGTCTCACCAAGGGGTCAAGGACTGATGAAAGTGGTACAGCTACAAAGGGTGTGTCCCCTCATAAGGCAGTATTATTCCGGGTTTGAACTGTGAGAGATAAACAACCAAATGTTAGGAGTATCTCTGCAGTGAGATTTGAGGGGCCTAAGGAGGGCCCACCTAATGCTTCAAGACAGAGTTCCCTTGAGCCCTCACTCTGCCTGAAGTGCTTCCGTTAAGACTTCATTCCCGGGGCGCCTGGGTGGCTCAGATGGTTAAGCGTCTGCCTGCGGCTCAGGTCATGGTCCCAGGGTCCTGGGATCAAGCCCTGCATCGGGCTCCCCGCTCGGCAGGAAGCCTGCTTCTCCCTCTCCCTCTGCTGTTCCCTGTGCTTGTGCTCTCTCACTCTCTCTGTCAAATAAATAAATAAAATCTTTAAAAAAATAAAAGACTTCATTCCCTTGGGTGAAGAGCTAAGTGACACAGGGATGCTTAAGGACAGATCTGGGCAAGTTTCTCTTTGGGCCCTAGGACTTGAAAGATCTCTCAGTGGGGAGAAAGGAGTCTGGAAAACAACTCACTCTTTCACTTACAGACCTTCCCACCAGGGGCCTGGTTGATTAAGAACGCTGAGTCCCTGTGAGGCTGGGTCAAGATCTCTGAATGTTGAGGGTGAGGGTGAGAGACAGAAGAGGAGGGCCCAGGGACAGGGCAACAGCCTACAAGCCTGTCAATGTCTCTATCTGTGAATCAGCAGCAGAGAACCAGAAGATGTGACTGTGCTGCCTCTTTCATTCCAGATAGTCTGGCTTGGCATTCAAGGCTCTATGGAATCTGAGCCATTTTGGTCTTTTCACTTACGGCTCCCCCAACACAAACTAAGCTATAGTCATCCAAGGTTCCTTGACCCCACACACACTGGAAGGACAGGCTGGCAGATCTTTGGTCCTGGTTTGTCTTGATCCATCCTTCTCCCTCGGTGCTATCTTGGGAAAATCACTTCCCTGAGCCTCAATTCTTTCGTCTGCAAAATTGGTATACTACTACTCACTCTGACCATGTCAGCTGTAAACGCAGGAGTAACAGACCCTACCTCTCAGGTTTATTATGAGGACTAAGTGAGATAATATATGTAAAGTGTCCAGGACACAAAATGTGCTCAATAAATGTGGACCCCTTTGTTAAGGTAGACTGTTAACATTTAGCCATCTTTTAAGAAGCAGCTCAAGAAATACCCTCTCCAAGTTAGAGAGCTTTTACAGTTAAATGAGCTTTTATAGCTCATTTCATGGCCTGCCTAGAACAGTTCCTACCACATAGAAGGCACATAACAAATATTTTTTGAATGAATAGAAGCCTTATAGTTCTCTCAGTGGGCTGTCTCTCCCTACCCAGTGGAAGCCAGAACTCTGTTTAGTTCACCTTTGTTCCACAGAGCCTGGCATTCAGTTTATATAAGTCCAATTTTTAAACATCTTTGCCCTTTAGGAGCTTGGAATCTAGTTGAGGAAACAGGACTGATCCAGAAAGATCTGGGTTCAAATATGCATCCTCTCATCTTAGCTAGGTGACCTCAAGCAAGTCTCTTTATCTCTATGGACCTCGTTTACCTCATCAGTGAAATGGGCACAATACTATTCAGTCTACCCACCTCATAAGGTTGTCATGAGAAGGCATCAGGATAACAATGTGGAAATGCTTTGTTAATTAAGAGTTATAGAAACGTAAGGGGGAAGATGTTATGTTATTAATAATGGTAGCAAACACTTCACAGTTACTCTGTGCCAGGAGTTATTCTAACAGCTTTCCATGTATTAATTCATTTACTCCTCCCAGCAACCATATGAGGTGGGAAACAGGCACAGAGAGGTTAAGAACTTGCCCAGTTGGGCACCTGGGTGGCTCAGTTGGTTAAGCGACTGCCTTCGGCTCAGGTCATGATCCTGGAGTCCCAGGATCGAGTCCCACATCGGGCTCCCTGCTCAGCAGGGGGTCTGCTTCTCCCTCTGACCCTCTTCCCTCTCATGCTCTCTGTCTCTCATTCTCTCTCTCTCTCAAATAAATAAAATCTTAAAAAAAAAAAAAAAAAAAGAACTTGCCCAGTTAATGGCAACTGACAAAACCAGGAAATCTGGCCCTCTGGCCCAAACTATTCCCTACCATGCTATGCTGCCTCCTTTTACTATTCCCACTTAATAACATTACAGAATTAAGTGCTGAGTTTCGAAGGCCCAACATTGAGTTCACTGGAAATTCAGGTAGTTGGGAGCCTGCTGAGGACTGGAGGTCCTTCCTGTCAGGTAAGAACTGGAGAACAGAACAGAAAGGGCATTATAGCAGGAGCAAAGGCACAGAGATAGCACTGAGTTTGATGTGTTTGGGGGACAGTGAGGAGGCCAGAGTGGCTGGAAAGAAAGGAATCTGCTGATGATGGTAGAGGGAATTAAATGCCAGGTGTGGAATTTGGACAGTGATAGGGAGATATTTGCTGGTTTCATCTGTAAATCTGTAACCTCTAAGGAGTGAGAAGCCAAAAGCAGTCCCTAGATTGACTTCTTCCTGGAGGAGGGGTGGAGGGGCAAGCAGAGGACCAAGCCAGCCTGTGGCATACCCTTCTTCCCATGCGCTCCACACTTTCCACAGATGTTGTGGGGTGGGGGATTAGGAAGAGGTAAAGCAAGGTAGGAGATGGACGCCTGACCCCCAGTGGTGGCCCTGTGGAACTGCAGATCAGTGAACTTCAAATGAAGTCCTAGGGACAGACCCACCCCGACTTTCACTCCAAAGCTGGAGCTGAGACACACTCATCCCAGAGCTGGACAAGGAGGAGGGCTCCCTCTGGGGTCAGTCCCCCTAAACTGGGCCTCCTGAGTGGGCAAGCTGGCTAAGACGGGAGCCAGTGTAGTGTGACAATTTAGAGCACAGGCTCAGGGTCAAACTGGGTTAAAACTGAGGCTCTGACTCTTATTGATCTTGGTGATTTTCTTAACTTCCTTTTGCCTTAGTCTTACCAGCTGTAATGTGGAGATAATGGTACTTCCTTCATAGATTTATTATGAAAATTAAATGTGATCATGTCTGGGGGCACCTGGAGGGCTCAGTTAGAAGAACATGCGACCCTTGGTCTCTGGGTTGTAGGTTCGAGCTCCACGTTGGGTGTAGGGATTACTTAAAAAATAAAATCTTAGAGACGCCTGGGTGGCTCAGTTGTTAAGCATCTGCCTTCGGCTCAGGTCATGATCCCATGGTCCTAGGGTGGAGCCCCACGTTGGGCTCCCTGCTCGGCGGAGAGCCTGCTTCTCCCTCTCCCTCTGCCTGCTGTTCTGCCTACTTGTGCTTTCTCTGTGTCAAATAAATAAATAAAATCTTAAAAAAAAATATTTTAAAAAATGTGATAGACGGGCACGTGATGTAATGAGCATTGGGTGTTATATGCAACTGATGAATCACTAAATTCTACCCCTGAAACTAATAATACACCAAATGTTAACTAAATTGAATTTAAATTAAAAATTAAAAAAAAAAACATGATCATGTCTGTAAGCACACAGGTGTGATCTAACACACAGTGTGTGCTTAGTCAGTGTTTGCCAGCACTGGCCGTAGTTCAGAGGCTCACTGGCTCTGCAGGCCCTTCCCCACCCCTACAAACACGCACACATACACACCACCACTACTGGCAAGGAGCAGGGAAGATGGGGGAGGGGCTCCGGGAATGCTCCAGGGGGTGAGGGC